CCTCCTCCTCCTCCTTCTTCTTCTTCTTTGTTCCGTGTCCCTTTACGAAGTCCCATTTCCCTGTTCTTTGCAGCTTTTAAAAACTTTTGTCTTTTTTGCCATCTCTCCTAAACACTCCATCTATTCGCACGAGCTCTCCAGGTAGGTAGTGCATTGCTTTCCTCAGTCTTACCTTGAATCTATCCTGTGAGTATCAAAATTTCCAAGCCCTCTTTCTTCATTATATGCCCCAGAAATTTCGACCGTCTCTTCCTGATGTGAGTTATAAGTGTCCTTTTTGTTTCCATTTTCTCTAAAATGTCGTCGTCCCTCACATGTTTCATCCATGGTATTTTCAGAATCCTTCTGTGGAACTAGATTTTTGTTGCTTCAGCTCTCTTCTTCATCTGTGGAGAAATCCAATGTCTTACTTCTTTAAATAATAACCTGCTCCAATATTTAACGATGCGTTTTGTTGTTTTTTTTGTTTAATAATTTCACCGCAAACAGGACCATTTTGTCACCAGTACAAAGGTGGTTACAGAGAGTGAAAGTGAAAGAGAATGATGAGAAATCTGAGAATGTGGAGGATTGAGAAAAGAACTAATGAGGAACGGAATTCAAGAAGACAGAAGATAGCGATTGACGTTGCATTTAAACTTTTGAAGATTGTAGTTATCAGGAAAGCAAGAAAATAGAATGGAGTTCCACAGGTGGGAAGTGCGAGAAAAGAAACTTTTGGAGTAGAAGTGGCGGTTGTACTTAGCTATTTCAACAGTAAAAAGGTGAGGTCGAGATGCCAATCTAGTAGCACGCTTGGATTCATGTATTCGAGGCACCAGGATTAAAAGCTTGTCAGGGCAGTTGCTATTAAAATATTTGTAGGATTTTTCTACGGGTCGTGGGATTCGCAATTAGTTTCATTGAAAATTATGACACATCAGAAAATTCAAATAGGAAAATTGTGAAAATTTCGCGGGTAGCGCTAATTTAAAATAATTGTACTATTGGTCTGGTGCATAATTATCAGGCGTTTTTGTAGGCGTGTTATTTGTTAATAAAAATTGCTGTTTTTTTTTTAATAAAAATATTAATTTATTTTACGGTTACAAAAATGCATGTCGACAATCATACCCTGTGGAATAATCATTTAAAAATGTTATTGTTGAATCGTTATGCTTCTTTTTTTCATATAAATATTGTTTAAAAACGCCTGATAATTATGCACCAATCCAATACTTAAAGTGGTCCACGTTAAAAATAAAGAAAAATTTGGGGTAATAATTTTTGGTAGATTAGTATATTTTAAAACTTCCTTAGGCCACGACACTTCCCAGAATAAAAAAAAAATGACTTTATTGATTTAGAAGTGGAATCCTCTTTATAATATCGATACCCAGTCAAATTGAGCCATGAGTTATTGTCCTTAGGTTAAGTCACTTAGTTGTTATTGAGAAATGTTAAATTTGAAACTGATTGATATCTGCATATTTTCTTTTTAATTTCTGAATATTAACTTTTCTTTACTTGAAAGAAAATTAAATATTTTGTATCGGATATTTGTCAGAAGCATATGCGCAAACATTTGAGGTTGATAATTATTTTTCTTAAATGAGGAATAATGGATAAACACTTTTATTAATTTATGTCATTTTTTTGTTCTTTAATTTAAAATGTATACATCCGTTTGTTTGTTATTTAAGAGAAATATTTTTGTAACGAATTAAATTAAGGACAATAACTCTGCAAAAATTAGGGGTTGTATCGATATTATAAACAGGACGACTCTGATAAGTAGAAAAAAAGTCAATATTTTTTGATTCTGGCAAATGGCGACGCCTAAGTATGGTTTAAAAAATGGTATTCTACAAAAATTATTTCCCCCTCAAATATTCCCTAATTTTAACGAGTGGGCAACTTTATTAAAATAGTTCCAAGATAATTATGCTATTGTAGAGAGCAAAGTCTCCATCTTGAGTGTGAGTGTGTGTGTATGTGTGTATATGTGTGTGTGTAAAAATAATTTCGTATTTTACAATGTTTATAACATCGTAAAATATCAAATGATTTTCTCATGCCATTCATATCAAGAAAGTTGAAACGTACTCAGCAGAGCAAGGAAAATCAATATATATATATATATATATATATATATATATATATATATATATATATATATATATATATATATTGTGTATGCGTGTTTTGTGTGTGTGTGCTATAAATCAACCAACTGGTATAGTTTTGCACAATCGAAACTGACAAGATTACAAAAGCAGCCGAAATCTGTCTGGACATAAATTTATGTCTTATGCGACCCAACTCCCCATTCCGGAAAGATCTGTCGATTAGTCATGAAGACATATCGAGACGGTGCATGATAACAACAAAACAGAAATAGACATTAAATAAATAAATATGACGTCGTCGATCACAACGACCACGGCGACGATCGTATGAAGTTGAGAAAAAAAAACAAAAAAACGAGAATAAAAAGTGATGAAAGTTCGGACATGGAAGAATGACTAAGAGCCAGAAGAAAGAAACAAAAAGATACGCACACATACACTTACAAAAAACAAGTAAAATGAATCAGAATATATATATATATATATATATATATAATATATATATATATATATATATATATATATATATATATAATACTTGTGCAGAAATAACTCTTCTATGCATGTTTCGTTAAATATAACGGACGAGGAGTATTTTTTTAGATTTTTATTTGATTTTGCTTGTCTCCTTATGATTTTCCTTTTTTTTAAGGACTGAGTTCTTAATTCTTCGTTGGATTTATTTTTTCTCGGTGCTTCCACTTTAGCCATTTTCAAGAGAGAATTATTCGCGTTAACGTGAATTGCTGAAACATTTTCGCATTGTTTTCTACACTCTGTTCTTTGAGAGGTATTTTTGTAGTCAGTCTCTCTTTTGATACATGATCTGACTAGGCAGTATGTTGGCATTTCTTTTTGCAGAAAATTGACATTTCTTTTTAGGGTAGAATGGTATAGTCTGCCCTGCAATTTAACCCAGTGCTGGGGGAGAAGAGACAGATTCAAACTATTCCCAAAGGTATTTGCAAGTGAATGTAACTAACTCGTCTGGGATTCGAACTCGGTTCTCCGATTTCTCATTCCTAGCATATAGCCATTACACTACAACGCAGTAAGTAGTAATTTAATTATTTGTGCAGTATGTATGTATGTATGTATGTATGTATGTATGTATGTATGTATGTATGTATGTATGTATGTATGTATGTATGTATGTATGTATTATAAAGAAGAAATCACACAAAGAATTAATCAGTAAAGTTAATGTAATTATCGGCGAAATTACTTCGCTAACAGATTTAATAAAGCATTAACTTACTAACTACTCATTGAATGACGCAATACATATGTTTAAAATTGTAAGATAGATTAGATGTTCCGTTATAAGGAGCATATAGATGGATTAGATTTTTCCGCGTCATTCAACGAGTGGTTAGTGCTTTATTAAATTTGTTAGCGAAGTGATTTCGCCGATAATTACATTAACTTTACTGATTAATTCTTTGTGTCATTTCTTCTTTATAATAATATATATACTGCACCATTTAATATATGTATGTATGTATATTGTTTTTGTTGTTGCTTATTTGTTTATCGTCTGTTGCTACGGCAGATGATAAAAAATATGCAACATAATGTTTCAGGAGACGATAAAACAATTAGCAGTCACGAAATCAACAAACTCCAAAAAAAGATCTCAACACTCTATGTACTAATAACAAGCGGAAATATATTTGAAGACCAGATCTAATAGAGAATCTGTTGGATATAAAGCTATCCGATAACGAACTAGAAGCTTTTAAAAGGAGATACAATAGTTAAAAATCATAGATAAAACGGCACATAATTCACCAAAGGCTTTATTCAATGAATAATTAATGCTACCCTAGAAACCAACAATGAAAGAACTTTACCAAAGAGACACTTTGCACTAAGGAACCTCGAAAAAATAGGGAAATTTATATTATTTCCTCGGGCAAGGGAGGTGGGGTTGTTATTAGGTTGGTGCAAAAATAATGTCGTTTTTGACGTTCAGCTTAACGTCAAAAACGACATTATTTTTGCACCAACCTAATATTATAAATAAAAACTCATGCAATAAAAAATTTAAAGATACCGATACATTTGAAAAAAATAAATGAACAGAAAATAATTACTGAAACATAACAATTTAATAAGGTTATTCTTTCTTTTTATGCGCCATGTCCTTTCAGGACGTAGGCGATCATGGCTCTCCGCCTCCCTCTATCCCTTGCAGCTCTCAACAAGTTCCTTCCCTCTGCTTCTTCCCCCAGATCACGTTCTGTTATTCACTTGCTTAAGTCCGCCAGGAATGTCACACGTTACTTTCTCTTGTCTCTCATTCTCTCAGTTCGACCCGTGACTATCAGATTCTCCAGGCCTTCCTTCCTTCCTCATGTGTCCCAAAAAATTCACCTGCCTTTTCCTGATGTTATCCCTCAGTATTTAATTGAAAATGGGAAATACTTTAAAAATACTTTCAAGACACTTCAATGACCTCTCATATTCAATGCGAAAAAAAAATTAAAAAAAATCATGAAATATTTCAAAATAGAATAGTGGTCCTTCTTGACAAATCCAACAAATCAAAATATATTGTTCTACGAACGATATCTACACTTGAAAAGAATTTATCTAAACTAAGCATAAACTTTGTCACAACTATGTCTAAAATAATAAAAAAAACTTAATTAATACAAAACAAAATAATAAGCTAAAACATGAAGAAGCAATTTACTCTATTACCTGTAATAATTGTTACAATGAATACATCGAAGAAACCTCAAGTAATTTAAATAAAATACTATATGAACACAAAAGGGATGTTTTTCAAAACAGCAACCAGCTACTACTGCTAAGACTACTACTACTACTACTAGTCTGATGCTACATCAACCATGAATTCAGATTTAATTGATTGGGAGTGTTAAACACGTACATATTTTGCCTTAGTGAATTATGATGGGC